TACACCCAAAACAAACACCATATTGGCGTATTCCTCAGTGGAAAATGTGTATGGCATCTTAACCTCACAAAGTCACCACACGTCCTGTTTACTACTGGATCGCTCTGCCTACCTACGCGCAACATTCCAACCAGTCTGCCTTATCTGCTGACACAGCTGACTGGAACGCATGGTCGCCCGGGTGGGAAGCATAGCGCTGCATTCACAGTGATGCATTTCGAAAATCTATTGTCACTCTGTAACTATTGAAAATTGACAAGTTTATAAGGAAATTTTGCAGGAAATAACCCCAGGAATATGTACCATAAGCCATGGTAAAACTTCGTGAATCACCCTGTATACTATTTCCAACATATGATTGGAGCCAGAATTGCTATATGGGAGGTCTTGTTAAACACACAAGACTCATCTTTGGGAAGGTTGCCTACTCAAGTGTGATGTACCCTACGAGCTGTTCTAGACAGACAGTAGTAACTTTATTGTGTCAGTGTTGTGAAATGTCATTAATCTAAAATAAATAGACCAGGAATTGTAGTTTTCAGTTTAACAAATTTTAAATTCATATTTTGGTTTGACTTTCTTATTTTTATGAGAGAACTGAGTCTTATGGTTTTGTTCCTATTTGTGTGTGTGCATGCACACCCCCAGTAACATTTGGGACTTACTCTTCTGAGACATTTTGATGAAATCTTGGTATATGGCACTTTACTATCAAATACTGTGACCTTAATACATTTTAAGATTCAAATTATACATTTTAATTCCTGAAAATCAACATTATCAACAAAGTAGTCATACAGACTTCATAGGTGTGTGCTATATCACAATTGGACAGTAGTAAGATATATTTACTTTTCTGTTTTGTGATAGTAGCTGGTAAACCATTATAACTATGCTTTCTGAATTGGAGGTGACAGATTAAAATATACCTGCACATTTTATCTGAATCACTTATTTGTGCTGAAAATTATGAATATGAAAAAGATGCAAAAATTTTAAGATTTTAATGACAGTTTTCAGGACATTATATTGTCACGTGATAGTGACTAGACACAGAGTTTGGATTTACTATTGAATTTACTGAATGCTTATTACTTGTAACTACAAATAGTTATAATAGTCTCACTTATCTACACAATTTACAAGTATCTACCACTGTAAATAGCTTCTGTTTCTTCATTACACATTGCTTTATAGCAGCTGGTAACAATGGGAATTCCCTTTAGTGGTTCTGTTCTCAACAGCTCCTGTCCTTGCTAACCACTGGTGACAGTACTTGTTCTGTCTGGCCTGATAATTTCCTGCTGGTCATCACCAGCACAGTCATCCTTTGTTTTGGCCTCTGCAGAACTCATGACATATTTTTCTGTTATGACTGACTGAGTTGTGAAACTGGATGGTGATCCTGGTCTGGTTTGTTTTAGTAATTTTCTCCTGGTCTTTGCCAGCACAGTCATTCTTGGTTTGAGGTCCTGTAGAACTGATTGCCATATTTTATGTCATGGGACCCATGGGGCCTGAAACCATGGACATGGTTTGGTTGGGTTGGGTAAATTGCTGATGGTTCTTGTCAGCACAATCTGTCATGGTTTTGGGTCCCATTAGGACCATGACCTGTTTTTCTATAATCATGGTATAGCATTGGTTGGTCCTCTCTCTGTAACTTCAGAATGGACCATGTAGAAAACATTGCCTCCAACAGTTCCCCTGTTGTTTTCATTGCTGTGGAGATGTGTTTACTGGGCCATTGCTTAACAGTGGATGTCCCTATAGCGCACCATTTGTTCCACTGTTCTGCCTGTCAGGTGTCATGTCATAATATTCTCTACTAGTGGAAATTTTTCACTCAATATCATTTAGTTCACTCTCCATATGGACAGAAGAATTTGCAAGAAATCAGTATTTTGTGCAACGATTAAGATGTGTATGATGCCTATTGAATTAATTTTGACAGAATTTTAAGTATATTATTTTAGAGTATTGACATAGCTTAGAAATTAATGTGGCTTGGATTAAAGAGGACATTTTAAGCAAGAAGTATATTTACAAACTATATTTATATTTTGTAAGTTTTGAGGTTTTCACGGCGATGACTATGAAGAAAGTCGTCTTCTGGGTTTAGGCACCGTGTATTCTTCGTTTTGGCCAACGTTTCGGAGGATCGTATTGCCTCCATCTTCAGAGCAGTTGAATGGCTTGGAATGCAGAGAGCAGTAGCTGTAGTATATTTGATTATGAATATAGTTTGTAAATATACTTCTTTCATAAACTGTCCCCTCTGTTCCAAGCCACATAATTTCTAAGCTATGTCAGACTCTAAAATAGTACACCTAAAACTGCATAACGAGGAGCTTCATAAGTTATACTCTTTACCAATTATAATTAGAATTATCAAGTCAAGGAGGATGAGATGGAAAGTGCATGCAGCATGGATGGGGGCAAAGAATGCATATAGGATAGTGATGGGAAAGCCAGAAGGAAAGAGACCACTAGGAAGACCATGGCATAGGTGGGTGTATAATATTAATGGATCTTGAGAGACAGGATGGGATGGTATGCACTGGATTGATCTGGCTCAGGATAGGGGCCAGTGGAGGAGTCATGTAAACACAGTAATGAACCTTTGGTTCCATAAAATGATGGGAAGTTCCTGAGTAGCTGCACAACTGGTGGCTTCTCAAGAAGGGCTCATTTCCATGAAGTTAGTTATATTCATATTTCATCACTGATCTTAGATTTTTGCAGAATGTCCCATTAAATAACTGTAGCCTTCTTGCTTGATTGCAGAAGCTGAAAGCAGATGTGCAGTTGGAAGGGAGGAATCTGAATTTGCTGAGAGAGGAATGGAGAGATGCTGTAGCAAGACACTTACCACTCTGATAATGATTCTTTCAGATAGTGTTGCCAACGTACTATCAATTGTCAGCCCAAGGAATTTCAAGGTATTCTTATTATTAATTTGGTTATCACCATGTTTAATATTTAAGTTTATTAGTGCATTTGGTTTTGTTAAAAACTGGACACAACTCATTTTAGTTAAATTCAAAATTAGCGAGTTTATAGAGAAGCATTTATTGATTGATTCAAGAGTTTCTTTTAAGGCGATGTCTAGTTCTTTAAGATTTGACTTGCAGCACAGTATGCTGGTGTCATCAGTGAATAAAATTGGTTTTGATTCTTTATTTATTATATTTGGCAAATCCTTGTGAGTTGTTTCTGCTGGAAGCTGGTAGTTGAGGCATGGGGATAGTTTGGGAACCCAGAGTAAGGGAAACATCCACTGTTGGAAGCCGCTACAAAGCAACAGCTGCAAAGACACTGCGGACACGTGTGTGGGGGGGGCGCACATAATCACGTCTTTAATCAGAGTTCAATAAATCCAGTTACCAATCCAAATCCTATTTATAGTTATTCCTTTGAATATAAGATGTGTCTCAATTTTTCAATGGGGAAAAACATATGTGTCTTATATTATTTAAAGTAATATGCAATATAGTGTGACGTATTGCCCTATGGAGGACATCCCCTCCCCCGCCAGCGGTGACGTAACAACATCGAGCGCTCCGCCCCCTCCCCCTCGGTGATGTGGCAGTGCTTCCCACTGTTGCTAGGCAATCGGTAAACACGACTAGGCAACAAGGAAGTGAGGCGTTTTCCCAGTGTCCAGCTGAAGGTTTATAAGAGAACTACACTGCCTAAGGAGTCAGTTAAAATGTAGCAGCCGCCAAAGACAGTTGGAATATAGTGGCAGTCACGGAAAGAAGACCCGAATGCATGGTTGGAAGATTTGATGTGATAATTTGTGATACTGCTGAGGGCAGTAATTAGATTGTAAATTATGTGATTGTGAGCGCGAGTGTTCAATAAATTCGCTATATCAAATAAGGCGTGAAGTTACTTGTCACATGACAATATATACACACACACACCACATGTATAACAACAGCAACAATAAATAATAAAAGAAGTAATTTTTTTCTTAAGCACCTTAACATTATATGACTCAAGACTTTAAAGAAGTTTGATTCAATCTTCAAGTGATTCTGTAACTACAGAATCAAAAATGACTGATGTATGTTTCTGCAATTCTTGGCCACAACAAAATTATATTTCTTAAACAGAAATACGAGTACACGGTTATCATTCACAACTGTAGGAACACATTTTCACTGTCCTGCACATCTTCACACGTGCACCCTTGGTGGCATGACAAATATCAAGGTGATACTCCACCTTTTGTGAAGGGTTCTGTAGTATCTTTGGTGTGACTGATTCACAAGCAGCAAATATTTTATGACAGGATAGCCTAATCTTTCCTCTGCAGTTGTTACAAATATCCTTTACGAGATATCCCCAGAAAATAAAATCAACAGAAGTCGATCTGATAACCAAACAAGCTATGCAGTGGGACATCCTCTTTCAACCATTTGTCTGGAAATAGCTCATTTAGGAAGACAATCACTATGTTGGTGTAATGTTGAGTTCACTTTGTTGGATCAAATAACTTTGTGGCACCTGAGACATTGAATAATCTGCCATCATGTGTAGGCATACAGTTGCTCTTACTGTCACTTCCACAAAGACAAATGGTTGATTTACAAAATTCAAAGTCAGGACACAGTGTTTCCTTTGGGACTTTTACATACAGGTTCCCCAACAAGGGATGGCTTTTTCACTCCCCTAAATTTGATAACTGTATCTACGTTATCAAATGTGTGAGAGAGAGCATGGTTCAAACTATATTGTCCAGTGTGGACTTATTTGCTTAGGCTTTCAATTACTTGTAGCTTTTGTATGATTTGAATCTTGTACAATCTATGTTTACTATTAACCAAAGTTTCATGAAACACCTCTTAGCACGATAATTCTCATCTTGTGAGACAAAAGAGAAATGCTAATCTTACTTCTAGTTTTTCATGTATTATCATGAGTGATCCAGTGGAAATACTTCATTTTGTCAGTAACAATGGAAAAGACAAGAAAAGAGTACTTTATTATAATTTATATTTTTGGTTTGAACTTCCAGCAGTATTAGTTGTAAGCAAAAATATTCCATAGTCAAAAAAACTGGAAATTACTGATCACACTATTCCAGTTCCCTCAATTCGCTCCTGTGTTACTGCATCAGAACTTATGCTACTCTGCCCCAGGATGTAGCTCTGGTTTCTAATATAAAGCTGCCTCATTTGGTCCTCATCCCTATTTGCATCAATCACTAGTACGGGTGCACGAGTTTTACTTCGGAGTAGCCAGTGCTCATGAGATTCATGCAGTTCCTGAAGATAGCCAAGAGACATGGAGCTCTCTTCTGGACGTTTGCGCCTCTGGATTCTTTCATAACATAATTCTGGACTACAGCGAAGATACACTGTTACAAAAAAAATACAATTTAGATTTCCTCAACACCAAGTATTTTGTTAACCATTTCCCACATAACATGGTTCACTTCTCCCATACAACAGAGACCAAGAATTTTTGAAAAGCATATAAAAAATGGTACCTATATTCAAAACAAGTCCATCACTGTATCACATAATCAGGAACCATGTCAAGGAATTATCTGGTGGAGATTTGACTGAAATTATTTTTGAATGGATCTCAGATAAATAGCTAATCAGGATGTGAACTCAGTTAAACCAGCTCAAAGTATGGCCAGGTTCTGTGAAGTATTTAACTTTTGTATTCTGTTAGCAGATGGTTATATTTTTTATTACATTTATGGTCTGGATTATAAAGACGAGATACCTCTAACTCAATTTATTTTCTTATGCATTAGGGAAATGGCTGAAAACAAGCCAGTGCGCATAGGGAATTTGTTCTCTGGGGGGAAAGGACATCTGTATAAAGTTGACCACTCAGTACTATCCTGTCTTGAAGTTACAAATGTCTTCATGATGTGGGGCTCACCTTTACAAAATTCTGAACTTTGAAATGAGTCTGTGAGCTTGTCACATCACTTACCAATCAGATCAAGATGGATATCAGTATTCTGTTGTATCCATTCATACCACTTGCACAGGACAACATACTCTGCATCTAAAAGATGACCACTGTTGTGAGCCATCTCCACAAAACAAAACCTGTGTAACAAGTTAAGAATAAACAGAAAAATACAAAAATGTCAGTATGGAAGGAAGTCAATATTAAAATGTGTCAATATATGTTCTAAAGAACTAAATTTCATTCACAAACCATTACTGCTTTGGGAGTATTGTCACATATAAGGAGTTTGTGTGACTAATAATAACGGGGTCTGGAATAGATGACTGGATTTATTGCTGCCCCCCATTACAATCAGTTGCAACAGCTCATAATCAATGACCGTCTAAGACTCACTCCATTCCTTACTGGACTACAAGTTCATTCTCTTCTACTGTGACTAACTTGGTTCTGATTTATGAATCGGCCACTTCAGCTTCCATTGTTTGCTGATTAATGCTCCACAGCTAAACAATGAACCAATCTCCTATAACTGAATGCTGAATCAAGTTGAGTCTTGTGTTACAACCAACGGTCAGTTGGCCAGTCTGTTTTCAAATAAAGCATCCATCTGGGGCTTACAACCATATTTTTATTAATGTCAGACAGTTTCAGGCTTCTTGATGTGGCACGCTCTTTCTGACAAGAGGACGGGTCTGTCATTTACAATTGCTGCTGGCCCTCATTAGTGCAGCCATTCTCGGGTCCGAGTCCTGTGGGACTCACAACCATATTTTACGGTCTCAGATCTCCTTTCCATCACCTCCTATAACTTGCAGGTCTACAGTGGAGGTATTTAACCCCGCCTCCATATAGAATTACTTGCATGCTCTCTCTTCCCCCCCCCCAAACTGAGGGCTCTGGAGCAGGAGTTCTCTTTGCTCAGAAGTGTCATCGGGTTGCTTCGGAAAAGGGATGCAGCCGCTTGAGAGTACAAGGATGAGAATAGAGCATGACTTTAGTGAACTGTGAAGATTAGTTAAGTACAGATTAGGATAGAGGAGTAAAAAGTGACTGAAGACAACACTTCATAGTGATTTGAAGTGAGAGCTTCTGTGTTGAGATCTATTGCTAGAATAAAACTACTGGAAACTGAGAATCCTAGTGCGTGATGCAACAGTGAACTGTAATTTGTGTAAATCAGCAACAGTGCTGCATTAATTGTAATTAAGAGAGGTTGTAATTGACATGCCAATAAATCCAATCATCTGAATTAGAACCCATTATTTTTGCCATGCATACCACCTGTACATGTGACAATGTGAATATAATGATTAAGACATCAAATTTTGTGTGCATTTTTTATTTGTGAAACAATTTTTTGCATTGCTGATAACAGAGCAGTATTTAATTAAACAGGAAGAGTCAAAAGTAGCAGGTCATGGCCCTTTTTGAAAAAGGTCCTGTCCTTCATTTGTCTGGGAAGAATGAGGAAAACCACACTCAGCATACCCATCAATTGGCCAAGTTTTTCAAACTTCCATAATATATTTTATGCATGGTCAGTCATCTACAACCCACTGATATAAACTGACTGCTTGCAGCTGAGCCCTTCTTGAAAAGCCACCAGCTGTGCAGCTACTCAAGAATTTACCAACATTTTATGGAACTGAAAGGTTCATTACTGTGTTCATAAGAACCCTCCACTCGTCCTTGTTGTGAGCCAGATCAGTCCAGTCCATACCACCCCATCCTATCTCTCTAAGATCCATTTTAATATTATCCACCCACCTAAATCTTGGTATTCCTAGTGGTCTCTTTCCCACTAATATCCTATATGCATTCCTCTTCTAATAAATCTTGTAAGTTTATGAATATATGCACTTTTCAAAGACCTGTTATTTTGAAGGGAGCGTTCAAACATGAGGACTTGTCTGTTTGAATGCTGCATTTGTGTCTTCATTCGGCTCAGCTGGACATAATTCTGGAACATGAAGTTGTACCTGTTGAGGTCCTTGTATAGCAGTGCCAGCAGACTGTGACCTCGCACATTGCACCACTCAGACACTGGTTCCTGTAAGATCATGATGAAGAATAATAATACACTTTGGATAATACTTATAAGACATGTAAAACAGAATACCACTTCTTGATATATATATACGTGTATAATATTTCTGCTGTAATGTACTATGCATGTTAACCAGTAGATGCTGCCTTTATCTCATTTTTCTACAATCATTTACTGAATACTTCAATACACGGCCTTTTTAATTCATCTACTGTCATGAAGATGGGGAAAATGAAATGTTTTAATTAAAAAGAACAAGGAGAAGAATAAATAAATACATATGGAACTGTAAAAAGTAAATTAATGAACAGATGCTCTTCAGGATGATACTGTGAAAAGGTGTATATATTCTTTTGAATTGAATTGAAATTATTTACATTCTATAAATCCTAAGTAGGTTAGTACCTTTGGATACAGAAGAAGTCAAAAGGTTACATACATAAGTACAGGCAATTTTAGCTTAAAAATTAATATAACTTAATTTTACATCATTCTCTATTTACATTGAAGTATTCATCTAAAGAGTAGAAGGAATGAGCATGTAGATAATTCTTTAACTCTGATTTAAACTTTTTAGTATCATTGCCCAAGTTTTTAATACTCTGTGGCAGATTGTTGAACACTTTTATGCCAGTAAAGTAGACTCCTTTGATTTTATGTATCTCGTAGTTGCCATATTCTATCATCATTCATATGAAATAATATTAAATTCTTCAATGAACAACATATATTTATGAAATCACATCAAATTTCAGTATCTTTCTAATGTAATGTATTTCAATTATCTACATCGATTACTATTTATTTTCTTCTAATTATTCATCACCATCATAATCTTGCTTCTTTATTGTAATTATTTACATACAAAATCAAGAGAAAGAAAAACAAACATCAGTCAACTCCATTATAGTTTGTGCTTGAATATGTACAAATCTATTGCTGCAAAACTAATCACACTATATCTTTCAAATTATGGTTGTAGATCTCAGTAAGATCCACATATTGTAACTGTAAAATGAGTCAGTTTTGAGAAAGGAGATCAAATGAAATTTTAGCATAATGTAAAGCAGACGTTCTATTAGGACTGCTATAAACCAAAACTCAGCTGACAACTGACACACCCTTGCTGGGGGGGGGAGATACCCAGGGGTTTGTGTGGGTCAAAGTTGGTAATACAGAAATCAAAGCCAACTTACCAAATTTGTAACATAAAAGTTTATTAAATAAAGTACACAAGATAAAAAAGAAGTAGGGTGACTGAAAATAATAACAATATGAACAGAGAATGGCAGCTTGCTCACCCTATCACAATTCTGAAACCAAACAACAAAATGGAATTTTAGAGGCCTGGAATATTTAGATGAATATTTTAATTAGGGATAGTTTCTTGTTTAGTTATGACACATTACTCGATCTATTGTCATGTATATGTTCCAATTTTGTATTATATTTTATATACACATGATAGGTTATGTAGTTGCAGTGATGTGTAAGGTTTCATATGCTTGATTTATTGTTGTGGATTTATATGCATTGTTCTGTTGACTACATGCTGATTTAGCAAGCTTGTGGTGTGACAGGTTCTGTATCCAATGGCTTCAGCCTTGTAAAGATGTGCTGGAATGTGTAATAAATACAATACAATGATGTGTGTCTGACTGCTAGTAGGATGTTAGTGTCAGGACAACAGGAGCAAGGGGTGAGGTAAAGGAAAGAGGGAAGGGGAAATATGGGGAGGAAGGTAATGTATACCAAGACGGAGAAGTACAGAGCAGGAAATACAATATTACACTAGAGATTATGCTAAATTCTTAACCTGTAAATAGTTTTTGCTAATTATAAATTAGACTTAAGAGTACGGCCCAGGTGTGCCTTGGCTATCTACTTGAGGATCTCTGGAATAATAATTTATGGTAAGTAAAAAAAAATAAAGCTATCCCTGTAACAAGCCATGAAGGCCCATAGGGTTGTGAGACATTGAGGGTCCCACACTATCTAGACAATCAGCTCAAAGATGGCGGTAAGGCTGTCGGCCTTATGGGCCGACAGTGCTTTACTCCCCAGGAAAATTATTTAATTAATTCCTGGTACTCATTTCTGTTAGAGGCTGAGTAAACCCCAGGGCCTAGTGCGGCTGGAATCGAATGACCCCATCAGGACTTGAACCCGCGACCTTCCGGCTTGTAGCATAGCCCCTCAACCACTACGCTACCGCGTGCCTCAATAATTTAAGGTACATTTCTGAAACTTGATGTAGCAACTTACCATGTGTGCATCTACATCAGGATAGCTTGAGAAGTGTGTGATCAGTGTGGACTTTCCAGCACCAATATTACCTTCTACAGATACACGGAAAGGCTTGACCACAGCTTGCTGAGCAGATTCAATATGTGACTCCACGAAAACTGGAAACATCCTGCACCAACTGCTGAAGAGAAAGAGATACAACCTAAATACACCATAGTTTTGGCAAACCTTACAGCTATCACATATCATTTTTACATTAAACACAACTTACATCTTAAAAACAGAAAACAGATCCTAAAATCATATGGTATAAATTTCAAACTCTGTTCAACATGTTTAATACACAGCGTTGTGCAATCTTTACAAATCCTTAATTTATGATACTGTGTTGTTTCGAGCAACACCTCCAACCCGAGACTCCAAAATGTACTACTATTCTCACCACTGGCAACTTACAGTGGCGAACATACTGTTTGTGTGAAGTACACTGTGGGGCTATGAATCATCTGGTCTTGTTACAAGTCTTACAGGTTTAAGTTATAATTCTAGAACCCTACTTCCAGCATTCTGGAAGAAATGTTATTGGTGGATGTGTCCGCAACAAACCATAATCATAAACTTCAGGACCAAAGTTTAGCCACCTACAACCCCTCCCCCACCCAAGCGATCACACGCCAACGAACCACCACATTAAAAATGTATCACTGCACGGTAACTTAATATTATTTAACACCACCAAATTCATACCAATGTGTTTGAAATATTCCTTTAACTTTAAACAACCTTGATAACGTATGCATCAGTAGCATCTATAATAGATGGTAGCTGTCACGTATCCTTTCGTAGTAATAACCGTAATAATGTATCAAACTTCTAACGCTTCTAACCCTTCTAACCAAATATTCAAAAGATGTCTCAACCGGTCGCAACAGTTGAAACTTCCAGAGAGTACAAAAGTTGACGCTATTGAATGAAAAATATCGAATTCTTCAAATACAATCTTAATCATCGCGGACTTAGGGGATTCCTGTCTATGATTAGTAAACCGTGCTGATGTGGTCACGGATCAGTGTTGTCGTAGTTGAAATGTTTTGGGAACCTCGAAACTCGATTCGATTGTTGGAAGCTATCGTATATCTAGTATCATTACTGAAAGAGCCATTGTCCTGTTTTTTTTAGGTAGATTCTAACGGGTTCTGACGATGGTGTATAAACTCAGAATTACTTGGCTTTGAACTTTGTCCATCGTCCGGTTTTCAAGAAATCAGAAAACACAACGTTTCGGAAACTGGATTTGTTTCCATCTTCAGGTGATTGGGGGAGACACCTGCTCTGATGAGTCCCCTAGAACGTTCCAAACTCAACCACTGGTCCAGCGACGAAGGTTAGCTCCTCGTTGTAAATGCCATCTTGTCGATCATGTCCTTCGACTTCCTATCGTTTATGTTTTATTAGATACTTCTTTACTGCTCGTGAAGAAGGAAACTATGAAAGTAACTTTTTATGGTGATGAAGCGTGATTCTAATTACCTGGGCCCGTAAACATTCAAATCAAATGACCATATTTTGGTAGACAGGAGATGACATTCAAATATACTTTATGTCCGATTGCTCAGGGCAGCAAATTGTGATACTGACCATTATCTGGTGGTGGCAAAAGTTAGCGAGAGACAGCCAGTGAGTAAACAAACAACACGCAGAATTCATATGGAGAGGTTTCTCAAGAAATTAAACGAGGTAGAGTGTTAAGAGCAGTATGGTGTTGCTCTCTCAAATAGGCTTTGGAAGACTTAGATGATGCGGTGCATAGTAATAGAACTTGGGGAACTGTAAGAGAGAATATAGAAATTTCAGCCAGTGAAAACCTCAAATCTTATACAGTGAGAGTCTAAGTTATTATGAATTGAAGAAGCATAAAACATGGTACGAAGAAAAATGCTCAGAATTATTAGGTCAAAAAAAAAAAAAAAAGACTGATTTCAGTGATACAGGATCGCAGCGAAATAAATGGTAATTATATGAATTATATAAGACGTGAAACCAAGAGGCATTTCAGAAATAAAAAGAAGGAACATCTGAAAGGTAAAATTAATGACTTTGCAATGAACAGTAAGAACATGAACATAAGAGACCTGTGTAGAGGAATAAATGGATGTAAGTTGGGTTACCAACCTATAGACGTAACTTGTTCAAGGGTGAGAATGGTAATTTGCTTGGTGATCGTCAAAACACTTTGAACAGGCGGAAGAAATATCTCTCTCAGTTATTGAATGGGTATAGGATCAGTGGTGCTTGGCATGTATAAAAACGTCTGAGCCGTTAGTACCTGAACCTAGTCCTTTAGAGGTTGAAAATGCTACTGTAAAGTTTATAAGATGTAAATCTCCAGGAAGTGATAAAAATCCGGCAGAGCTGGCTCAAATTGGAGATGAAACGTTACTGCCCATAAACTCATGTATTCTATTTGGAATAAGGATGAAATGCCTATCAGTGTAAGAAGTCTATTAGTGTACCGATTTACATAAATGGTGATAAAACTGACTGTAGTAATTATTGTTGGATAACACTACTATCAACTTTATATTTATTTCTCTTATTTGTTTATTTATTTCGTCTCTATAGATCATTGTTACATGATATAGGACAAGCTAGTTACTGTACGTTGGTTGATTACAATAAGAGAATAAAGTTACAGTACTTACAATTGATCGCAATAGATTACGGTAGATACAAACTTTTATGTAATATTCTTCTCTCAAGGTTAAGTCCATGTATAGATTAAATTACTAGGACTCGTCAGTGTGTCGACAAAGTGCTTTGGAATAAAATTAGAACGTTTCTGTATGTTCTTCATTTTCCAAAGTATTGTGTGTTCGTTCCCATGTTATTTTAGGCTTCTTCTTCAGTGTTGAAAACTGAATATTATAAAAGTACTCTGATATCTGATTTTTATCTTGGCAACTGTTGTTTGGATTTGCAAAAGAACACTGTCGCCATTCTGTACATGTAGCTTTATATTTGGTGGCCGTAATGTGTTAGCCACAGGAGCGAAGTATACGAAATTTTGACTAAAGTTAGATCGTAACTGTGCCCACAAACTCTGCATTTTTATGTGAACAATTATAAAGACTACAACGATATGAAACGACGAGAATACAAAAAGAAATGTAACGTAATCAGAGTATCTTCTACACGAAATTATACCCTTAAATAGAGACACGGTTTGAATAATTATTAGTTTGTACTTGTTGACTTCACTTGAATTCTAATGAGTTGAAGAAAAATAGGCAAAATAAGTTGTTCCTAGAAATCTTAATTATTTATCAGGCATGACAGTGTGATGATCGTCTACACCACACCCGTTAAGCATAGGCTATTGATAAATATTTATAAGATAACACAGTTTAATTTCATTTGTGTGAAAAATATACTTTCCTCTTTTAGGTAAGAATAATTTCTAAAATAAATTTGATTATTTATCAGCACACCCCTCGACTTTTGCTGCAAACAAAAGAAAATATAATATGAGTAAACAAAAGTAGCTTTGTGGTGATTTATACCTCTAACTACATTAAAGAATTCAAAGGCTTGTTAAATAATTAACTGAGCATATGAAGAACGTCGTTTATATATACACGAAGTATCATGAGCTACACTTTTCCATTTCAAAATTTTAAAATAATGAACGAAGCTTCATTAAACAAGGTATTTTAATCTATACTAATGCTTGAGTATAAGGAATATCTGTTTCGTTTTGTGCTTGAAATATTATTTAAATGGAATATTTCATTTTTTATGATTTACAAGTTTCGGATTGGGGTAATGCGAATTCAGTGCACTCTTATGGCAGGGGATGCAATTAAGACTGTATTTATCGGTTATGCGATACAAAATTATGTAAGAGCTGTCAAAAGTAAACGTAGGGCAATCGATGTAAGTTACGTCTGATCAAGGTGTGTTATCTATAAGAACTTTGTGTGGTTTGTAGGAGTCAGTTGTGTATGACGTTTGTATGAAAAGTTGTGTTTCGTGCAGAACACGGCGGAAAAAGTTATTGTGATGCACAGTGTGTTGATTGGTGGTTACGGTTGTCGGCGATGAAGTGGCAGAGCAATACAAAAATCTGTATTAAAGAAAAGTGAGTATGCGATGTGCTCAGGTGTAGGATGTGCATTGAGTTGTTACCTAATTTATTGCGTTATTAGAGGAGGTTCCGTCAGTCATTTATGCAAAGTTCAGAACGTAATTTATAGTACAATTTACGAATTGTATAGGCACTCTCCAGAAAGGCAGGCTGTGAAAGGATTGTTATCTCTTCTGACGAAAATATACCAGTGGGGATGAACATTTTTTCTCGTGACGCATTAATTTTATCTGTATTGCGCAGATTGAAGTTTGAGGTTTGAGGCGTTTGTCAAAACACGTGAGAAACCAATGACTCCAGTCCGCATATAATTTAGAGACTGTCAAAGATTTCTGAACTAAATGTAGTAAGAATGGTCACTTTTTAGTGTATTCATTTCCTTTATTTGAAATTACTGTATTTACAGAAGCAGTGTGCATTGCATCATCTTCCCTTGCATGACCCACTGGTTTCCCATTCCAATGAGCTGGAACTAATCCCATACTATACCATTACTAATGCTATACTATCCTGTACTTACTGGAGTGATTCATGCTTAAGGGTGGGAGGGTCAGACCCCACCAACGTTTAATGCTTAAGTATTAAAAGTGTTAGCTTGAGATGTTTCTAATTTGTTTGAGATGTTTATAATTTGTTTATATTTAGTATGACATAACAGATAATTTGATGGATTTATAATTTGTTTAAATTCTTAATAGCATTTAAAGGTTTTTCAAATTCTGCAGATGTGTCGCTTAGGTTGTAAGAAGTTTGTGGAGAGCCTTGCCTCATGGGCCTTAGCCTCACACTTCCATGGAAGATTTTTCCATTTCCTTATGGCACGTAATATAGTTGTCATGCCTTTCCCTTACAAGTCTTTTCTCCTTAAGCAGGGCTGTTGGGTGCTGGCCCTTATGCGTTACTGGATTTATTCGTGTCTCCCTCAGTTGCCTAAGCATCTAATTTTTCCTTCCTGCCAGAGGTATAGAATGTTTCTGTTTCACAACTCGAGAAAAGCACATGTTAACATCGTTGGTTTCTTCATTTCTTTTTATTTATGTGTAGTGAAATAAGATTGTGTGACTCACTCATTCACATCTGTGTTTAATCATTTGTTTAAGACAGTTATTAGACATTTATTTAAATTTATTTAGTTTACTGGTTTATAGATTCATTTTTGGTATGCATTATTGGCAATTACGAAAGCCGTAATTTGTGACATATAATTTTGAATTGCTTTGTGTCATACTAGCAATATGGTGTTTTAGTGGAAAATTTAAAAGAGACGTTGGTATGAGCCAGATGAGGATTTTGATATGTTTTGAACTCCTTTGTGTTCAAGCAGGAAGCAAGTAGCATGTCAAATTGTATCCGGATACTGGGAGTCTGTTGAAAGTACCTGCCAACTTGAGACATATTAGAGCAAATATAATGATGTTGCTTAGTTTTAAATGCTCCAGGCAGTGGAAAGTACTGTGTAATTTCTGTGACACAGTTGCGTGTGAATTTGCAGAGTTGCATCTCAGATGTTAGGGTCTTGAAATTCAGATCACTTAGTGTCATATCATGATCTTGTGTAGATGTATGGGGTGTACATTACACTCTCAGCATTTATTTAAGGTCTTTATATAAATCTCTTAAATTGATCTGCATTTACTGAGAATCATTCTGAATTATATTTCATGAACAGAAGATTCATTAAATGAATTAATTTTGACTTTGAAGCTGACAGAACTGCCCTATTCATACTTCTAACATTCCAAGTACTGAATCTCATGACCATTTCCTTTAGCCTAGGTTGTTTATCCAGAGGATCCGTCCAGGTTCTAGGCTTTATGAACATTTTTGTAACAAGCTTATTTTTTATGGTGAGGAGTTGTTAGCCCCACACCCAACCACCAAGCTGGAAGACCACCCCTTGTTGGCTGTCTGCAACTGCTTATTCACAGCTTCCCTCCATACCTAGAGGGCGTTTCCTCCATCTGCAACCTGAGGACGTGCCATGCCATGGTGACAAGGGACCCACCTAACATGGAGTTGGAGTACACATGTTTTAGAAATTTGTTTTTTGCAATTCGTTATCCCTCACTGATATTGAAGTTCATTTTCAGCAGAGATTGTCATCAGAGATAATCAAGAATATATATGCTACATGGTATAGAGTTATAAATTTGAGTGTTCCTTAGCTCATAAACAGCACAAATATACTGCCACTTGGGGCATTCTTTTTATTTATATTTTTTAAATATACACTGTATAAAAAGTAGTTGAAATTAACCTATTAATGAGAACTGTACTTTTTTAATGATGGTGCTGTTTTGTGAAGGTTTGGTCTGATCTAAAATAGGGAACTGATGTAGATGGAAAATAAGAATCATTTCACAACTTTCATGTAACTTTGCCCAAAATTTCATTGAAATACTGTTAGTAGTTTTTGAGGATATGAGAAGAACATTCCTGGTGAGTGCTCCTAGTTTAAGATTGCACAATGGTGATGTTTGGATGCCATGAGCTTTATCTGCTGTTAATTATATTTCCTCATGTTTTCTGATATCATGAAGGTCACACCTGGGTGACACAAGTACCCTGTGCAAACAGATACGAGACCATTCAGGTTTTGTGTAGTTAAACTGGTTTAGCTTCTATAGCATCTACTTACATAATTCTCCATATAATTCAGTGTTCCATACATAAATGCTTGTGTGTGTGTTTGCTGTTGGATGTAAATGTGTATATGCATACTTAAATCATTGAAAATTTATGTTTTTGTTAAATGCTTATTTAGATGTATTTCTAACATCTGATGCAGTTGCATCCAAACTGCAGTTATACATGCAGGGTGTTTATATTGGCAACATCTCAGATGAACTGTAATTGGCTGGATAGAGGTTAAAGATGGCGTGACTTTGTAATTGCATCATATACTTTCATATTGAACAGATGCTGACCTAATAGCTTCAACTCATATAAAACTACTATTCGGATTACTCTTTTAAAATAATCATATGTAATGGGACTTAGCTTACTTGTATTAAGTCTCACAGTTAGAAACATTTAGTAAAACTTTTCCTGTTGTTAAATGGTTGGGAATGTTGTATGTAGGGCATGACATTTTTGTTTTTGTAGTTTATATCAGGAAATTGGGCAGGGGGAATGCATGTAGGATTTTGGTGGAGTAGCGAAAACAAAAGGGACTACTAAGAATACCTAGACATAGGTGGTGGGTAGTATTAAACTGGAACTTTGAGAAATAGGATGGGGTAGCATGGACTGGATTCTTCCGACTGAAGATAAGGAACCAGTGGAGGGCTCTTGTGAACATGGTAATGAACTGTCGGGTTCCATAAACTGTTGGGAATTTCTTGAGTAACTGAGCAACTGGCAGGTTCTCAAGAAGGCCTTAAATCCATGTAGTTAGTAGTAGTAGTAGTAGTAGTAGGATGTAGCTCCCACAGTATGGTATGGCTGTTTATTCATTCATTCATTCATCTATGGCTCTGCAGCCCTCTGTTGGACATTGGGCGTTTTTTCAGGTTCTTAATGTTTTTACCAGTCTGTAGGACTCCTTGGATGGGGGATCAGCCCATTGCAAGGCAGCTACCTGCACACAGGACAGTGCAGACATAGAGTAAACACACACAGGCATCCATGCCTGTTTATGGAGAACCAAGAATTTTAAGGTGTTCTTAAAAATAGATGCAACAGTTTACTTCATGGATGAAAAGGGTGTGCTGCAGGATTACCCTAATACATTTCTGGCTAGGTCTCAGTGTGTTAAGTAAAAAAGTAAGTAAAGGTATCCCTGTGACAAGCCCTGGAGGCCCATAGGGTTGTGAGATGTTGAGGTTCCAACATTTTCTAGACAGCTCATAGATGGCAGCAAGGTTGTCAGCCTTACATGCCGGCCGCCCTTTACCCTCAAGAACATTCTAGGAATATTCCTGGGACTCATTTTTGTTAGAGGCTGAGTCAACCCCAGGGCCATAGTGCAGCTGGAAGGATTAGGTCAATTGAAAAAAATCCAATGACCTCATTGGGGCTTGAACCCGCGATCTTCCGGCTTGTAGCATAGTGCCTAAGTGTGTTAAGTACAGTTTTAAAATTTTAAAATGTTTAGAAGTACAAATAGTGTCCAATTTATGTCAAAATATATAACAGGAAGTTCTGGGAAGAACTGATCACCTATTTCCCTTTGATAATACACAGACTGCAAAGAAAACGACACGTCCAACAAATATTGTTGTGTATGTATAAGTTATTGCGGGAACGTGTTTACCATACTGTTGCCTAGCGACGGTATGGGAGTACCCCTACAGAGACACAGGGAAAATAGCCTAACAACAGAGGATCTGTTAGAGGCGATATTTTCTCTGCCGTCTGACCTGAAGTTATATTAAGAGTGGCTTAAACTTGGAGGCAGTCAAGCATAAGACTGTTCAAGTGACTGGACTACTGTTGTAGTGGGAGCTACTGAAGATAGGGCATGATCTGCTGTACCGAGCCTGAATTGACAAAGGCCTTGTATATATTTTATGTACGTACTTTTAATAACATGTAAAATGTAAATATATTAGACATGCTGACAACTGACTAATTACTGCAGAATGTGACTCTGGAAAATGACAGACCCATCCTCTCAACAGACAGGGCACCCCATATGGACAGGACTGTATCTGTCAAACAGGAACCGATCAGCACCAAGACAGATTGACTGACTGATCGCCAGTCGCACTGTGACTTCGGCTTTGACTTGATCTCCTGTGTAATGCATGTGGCTTTAAAAATTCCTCACATGGGTCATATGTAACAGAATTATGTAGGAAACAGGCAGAAGTCAACCAGAATCATCCATACTCAAATGTACATGCAACTGGTCAAGAAGAAGCCATGCATAGGAGGTATAAGAGGCATAAATTAGGTGGTGGTCAGGCCTGCAATCATTCAAGTGACTATCTGCCATTTCATACTTTCATAGTGGTAAAGTAGGTTAAGGCATAATCTGTTACAGAAGCTTGCATTGACATATCTTATATATTTATATATCTTCCATAAATATTCATTGCAGTAAAGTGACAAAGTGTGTATGTTGTCCATTCCGCACAAATGCTCTTACCTGGACGTTGCATGAATGCAGGTACACACATGCAGAATTACCGTGCAACAGATGTGCCTTGTCAGAAAGACAACCCCTCCCTTCTCATTGAAGAGGAGACCCAATTTCCAAATACATAAATAGTCTTAGAATGAACATAAATTATGTCATCAGTCCTGAAACCAAGAATGACTGCCCTGGCAAGGGCCAGGAGCCATTTACTGGACTGAACTGGACAGGATCGTTGTTACCAGTCTGTTGTAGTGCGCTGATACCAGAGAGTTGGAAGACCTAATTACATAGCCGTTTCCTAGCAATGACCATCTCCGCAGTGCTTCTCTGACTGCACTGTTCCAGTTTTCAGGTATCATGTCACATACATTCATATGATATTGTAATAGCCACCTTTTCTGGCTACATTATTCTAGCTTTCAGGAGTTTGGGGGGTGGGGTGGGGTGAAACACGGACACACAATAAGGTGACCACATAAGCCTCCTTTTATTTGTTCAAAATAAGGAAAGTAGGCAAACAAAATATGTTAACCAGATACTCTTTTCTCAAACATTTATGTTTTAAGGAAAATTGTTTACTCTGAGTCAGATTTTTTGGCTAACCCAGCTGACTTAGATCAATATTAAAAAACAGAAAAGCATAAATACAAACGTGTGTATACTGTGGCATGTCTGCTGAAAGCTAGAACTGTGAAGCCAGTAAGGACAGCTTTTGCTAGGGAATGGCTCTGCAAAACTGCTTGTTGCTAGGCATTGGCTCAGTAAACACAAACACTGTCTTCATATACAAATTGCTAACCTCTCATGCTTTCAGAAAAGCACATATTATGCTGGGATCAAAATTTTTAATAACTTGCCATCTGATCTCAGAGGTCGTATGAATGAAAAGGCATGATTTAAAATAGCACTGAAACGATACTTAAGTACACATTCATTCTACTCTGTTGATGAATACCTATTGTCTAGAAAATAACTTATATATCTCTAAATAGCCTTGTGTGTAGTCACTGTATATTCTTGGTTTCTCTTGTGTGAGAACTCCGTTGGGACTGTACATATGTTTTGTATTTATATGTCATATTCCACATCCTACAGTCATTTTGACTAACTTTGGATCAATGGAATGCAATGTAATGTAATGTAATGTAATGTAATGTGACTGCAGACATGCTTATATATGCAACAATAGAAGAACTGTTGGAAGCATTGTTTTCTGTGTGGTCCATCATGATGGCTACGTCACACTGCAACAAAACAACTCAAGAAGAGATGTTTTCTGGGCAGTCCGCCTTGAGACTATCTGGAGAACTGAAACCAGGCCTGAGTTGGAGAAAGGAGGTCCTCTGAAGCCATGGGTAGAGCAGACAGTCTTTGAGAGAGCAGTTAGGGAGTGCAGTTCGTGAGCCGTAAGGGTGTGAGGAATAGTCCTTGTTAGAAGACTAACCAGGCAATCATTAGTGGAGCGTGTAACAAGCTGAGAAGACTAGTTTAGGTTATAGTGAATTGTGGTGTGTTATAGTTACATGTAATTCCAAGTTGTAAGTGTGCATTAAATCTGATTACCAATCCAGACCCCATCTGTAGTCACTGAAACACATGACAATATGTTGTTTGTTGTCAGTGGGAAACCTGTGCTTGGTGATGCCTCATGATGTCCCTTGTCCAAGGTGGGATGGTTGACAAGTATACCCTCAAGTCATCCTCCAGTGTTTGAAGCCACAACTTGTTCTTGCTCTTCACTGTGTTCTTAATAGAGAATCCAGCCTCACACAGATACATTCCAGGGAAAGGAAAGAATGCTTCAGTCGCCTTCTTTGTGATGATGGGGTAGTCCTGACAGAGAGACAACCAGACTGAGGCCCATATCAGTTGATGAGTGCTTCAGTTTGAGTCTTTTGTCATTTCTTATTTGTGTCAGCTCATCTTCTCCTACAACAGTTAATTTTGCTGACTCAGACACTTAACACAAATAGATCTCTCACCCAGTGCAAAGAAGTTACTTCAAGTGACTAGAAATACTTTCCATTGTTTTTACTCATCAGTGACAAACTTTGTAGAATTAAATCAAGATTTTTGTTCAGTCTGCAAATTTTGTCAGCTTAAACATATTAACTGTGTTCTCTCTTTTGATTCTGGCTTCCCACAGCGTTAGTTTTCCCTTAAATGAGTTAATTTTGTCAGTACAAGTAAGATTATTTCCATTATTTCCCTGCATGCTCTTGTTAACAGTGTGCAAGGCTTGGGATAAGTCAGCTAAGAAAAAACTTTATTGCACCAGGTCTCATCACTAAGCATGTCAGCCAGCTCAGACTCTTCAGGCTTGAAAAAATATTGTAAGCTCTTTTCTTAGTTCATAGAACTTTGAAAGCACCTGCCCTCAAGATGCCCACCTCACTTCCATGTGTAATAGGAGGTGTGAATGAGCAGCTTCCATGGCAGAACACAGTGCTGGAAACAACCTCGACTGTAATGACCTACTCTTGATGTATTTAACCATTTTGATTGTCTCATCCAGTATTTTTTGTACCTCAGGTACTACTGATTTTTAAATGAGGAGTGCTCTGTGCAGGAAATTGTGAGAGAATTATTTCCAAGGTTCTTTTGCTTGCCCAGTGTGACAAATCCTTTCAGGCTTCCCAACATAGAAGGCCCACCATTCATGCAAATGCTGATGCATGATTTTCATGACATCATGAGAACAGAAGTCACTGTTGACACCATCAAGAATGTCTTGACCTTTTGTTGTTCCATGGGAGTGGTTTGCAAAATAAAAATTGTTCAGCGATGTCTTCATTACAAACCTGTTGAATTCTAGGAGTTCAGCTTTTCCAGTGATGTCAGTTGACTTGTCCAACTGGATATAAAAGAAAATGGCTTCTTTAATGTTAGCTGTCACTTGTGACTCTGCGTCTTGAGAATGTCTTGTATATGCTGATGGGAATCAGTATCTTAGTGGATATTTGGCCTGGGGACCTTGTGAATACAAGTTACATGCAATACTGCTTGGGCCAACTTGCTTGGAGTTCTTAAGTTACAATCTTTCATAGTACTTTACTCTACTTTCATTATTGTTGTGCTAACCCACTCATTAATTTGGATGTTCATATTCACATAGGACTGTTTTTATGGTATGTAATTTGTTTTACAGACAGGAGAGAGAGTGAAGTGTCCTCATGGACCAGCAGGCTATCGTGCAGGCCAAGCTGAGCTCTGGAGAGAATGCCATTGCAGAATCCTTTTAATCACTGTTCTGTTTTTTTTATTGCTAGTGGGGTGGGACTAAGTCCCTTGTACTGCGGCCACTTCTGGCCTATTGTACGAGCCCCAGATGATAGGTGAGGGTGATTGTGGAGCAATTGGTGGAGTGAAGATTGGCAGGGGAAACTGAAGTACTCGGAGAAAACCTGCCCCAGTGCCACTTTGTCCACCACAAATCCCACTTGACCAGACCTGGAATCGAATCCGGGCCGCCGCAGTGGGAAGCCAGCGCCTAACCGCTTGAGCTGTGGCGCTCTCACTGTTCTGCTAACAGCATGGAAAAAAATAGGGCAAAAAGAAAGAGGGTGGTACTGGAGGTGGGAAAGAAGCTTGTGATAATTGATGAATTGCAGAGTGGTTTCCTTGTTTCATAGCTAGCCTTGGAGTATGGCATTGGCATCCAGACTGTCAGAGGCATGTACAAGAACCAAGACAGTCTGGTAGACAATGCAGTACCACCTGGTATTTCCAGAAATATTGTCAAAAGGGAATCGCTAAAGAAGTCAGAGTTTGAAGGGCTGGATAAAGGTCTGTTTGAATGGTACAGATGTCGTTCAGAAGGAGTCGGTATGACAGGACCTGCTTTGTTAGAGAAAGCTCAAAGATTGTATAACGAAGTTAGCATTGAAGGAATGTTTAATGCAAGCAGTGATTGGCTGACCCATGTTAAATATCATAAGGGACACAGTCTCTGAAAGTTGATGCAGATGGATCAATTGCCCTTGCATTTAAGCTGAATTTTAGAAAGCTAATCCACGAGCTGGAACTTTGTCCAGAACGGGTGTTGCTAGTGAGATGGGACTGCAATGGAAGGACCTGCCAACCAGTGTGGGATGCAGGAACATCTTGGCCATAGTCAGATTCCTAATAACACAGAGAACATCACTATTATATGCTGTGCAAATGGAAGTGGAACTTACAAGCTGCAACTTCTTTGTGTAGGAATGATAAAGGAGCCAGAATATTGTGAAGGGACTGGAATTAAGTGCTTTTGTGTTGATTATTATAGCCATGAATTGGCATCAGTGAGTGGGAAGATATTGTATAAGTGGTTTCATAACTGATTTGTGCTAGCAGTGAAAGGGAATTTGAAGTATCATAACATCACACGGTCAGCCATACTGCTTTTCTGCAGGATTCCTTCATATCCAAGTGAAATGTTTCTGAAATCATGTGATGAACAGATATCTATTCAGTATATGCCTAGTAGCTTTTCCTCTGGGGCCCAAAATGTAGTTTGGTTAGTTGCAGGGATACTGAAATGTCGGTACAAAATTGGTATTATACATTATCTTAGGGAAGAAGAATTTCTGAACAGTGTTGCCCTAAAGGATGACCTGTTTCATATTGCATGCTCATATGTGAGTGTAAAGCCAGCTGATCTGTTTTGCTCATGGCAAGAAAGTTCCACTTGTGGAGGGTGTAATGAATGGCTTTGAGGTTGATGACTCCAGTACTTGTGCTGTATGAGGCAACAAAGAACAGTATCAAAGAATGGAAAATAAATGAAAATGAAGCATTGAGAGACTTTGAGTTTGATGAGCCCATCACTTCACTTATGACATCAAAAGTGATGAAGGATATCATTAAAGAAGGCGTTTATGCAGAAACTTGGAGATGGAAAGCAAAAGAGGAAGAGGATTGTATGCAGCAGGGTGTTGCTGCTAGTAGTGACAGTAAGGAACTTGGGGGAAATGCCACAGCAGCAGGCAAGGACACATTGAAACTTATTAAGAGGTTGTTGGAAAATTTTGGGCAACAGGATGACACATTATATACAGGGTCCGGCAAATCGACCTCCCGTATTTCAAAAGGCAGTTACAAACAAACAAAGAAAGGTACAGAAAAAATACTTTTATTTGTGAACAACAAATACGATGCTATTTTACATTACTAGGTTTTAAAAATTATTTCCGGTAAATGGCGCCCTCCATTGTTCACACATTGGCGAAGCCTTTCCCGGAAGTTGTCCATAGTTCTTTGTGTCATTTCAGGTGGAATGGCAGCCACTGCCTGGGTGATTGCCTCCTTAAGTGCTTGCAGGGTTGTGGGGCGATGTTTGTACACTTGCGCCTTTAAGTGTCCCCAAAGAAAAAAATCACAAGGTGATAAATCGGGTGACCTTGGGGGCCAGGCGATGTCTCCTCGCAAAGAGAGAAGACGTCCAGGAAACAACTCTCTCAGAATTGCTAAAGAACGCCGCGAAGTGTGAGCTGTGGCTCCGTCTTGTTGGAACCAGGCTTGTCCCTCTTCATGGTCCCCAACAAACTGGTTTAACTTAGGTCGGAGGAAGGTCTCGATCATGTGACAGTAGCGATTCGAAGTAACCGTTATCATTAGCCCATTTTCCTCGAAAAAATAAGGACCCCACACACCAAATTCAGCAACGGCGCACCAAACTGTCACACGAGGGCTGTGAAGCGGTCATTGGTGAAGTTCCTGAGGGTTTTCTGCTGACCAGTAGCAGAAATTTTGTTTATTTACAGTACCTGACAAGTGGAAGTGGGCCTCATCAGATGAACTCAAAACAGCGCCAGAGGGAATGTTCTGAAGAATGTCCTCACACGCAGCTTTGCGAGTTTCAGAATCTCTCTCACTTAATTCTTGGGTAACCATCATTTTGTGTGGGTGCATGTGTAGATTTCTGTGCAGGATTCTTCTTAAACTCCTATCAGACAATCCCAGGGTAGCTGCATGTTTAAGTGCTGAACGCTTTGGAGATTGCTGGATGGACGCTCTCACACGCGCCACATTTTCTGGCGTTGTTACGGTCCGAGGTCGGCCAGGCGATTTCTTTTTCAGTGCAGAACCTGTTGCTCTAAAGTTTGATACCCAAACGTGAATAGTTTTTCTATCCGGAACAGGATCATGTCGGCCAAGTTCGAACCAAATGCGAAATGCTCGCTGAGTAGTAATCACCGATTCACCATTACGAACATACTCTGCCACAACAAATGCACGATGCTCACCATGCCACGCCATTGCGACTACTGCAAATGGCACTTATACCACTATCGATCGATACCCCCCTCCGCCGCCGTATCCCCACCACAACTCACACAGCGCCCTCTCCAAATACGGGAGGTTGATTTGCTGGACCCTATAGTAATGTTCAGCTGCAAGAATTACTTTCCACTCTGAAGAAGAAAGTGAAATAATCTCCTAATGAGGCTCTGATCACAGACTGTCTGATCAAGAGATATTGAAGCTCACTGCTATGCACATTAACCCTTAAGAGATGAAGTATGCCATATGGGACATTTAAATAAAAGCAATCCAAGTCTGAGCTTAAATCAATTCTTCTGTTCCTGTCATGATTCTGTAAAGGTGGTTTTATGAACTTAAAATGAAAATTATATTAGTTTTCTCTGTTCACTCATTATAGTAAATGTTAATGTATGTATCCAAATTTGGAAGCTAGTCAGCATGACCTTTGCTACATGGCATTTGATGTACCAAAATATAAGGTGATAAGAAGATGTATGGTATATTTTGAATTATCTGAGTTGCTGAAGAGAAGAGAAAGCACAAATAGTTAAAAACAGTGATAATCCATAATTGTTTTATTTTCCACTCATACACACATTGTACTATAAACTGTTAACCTAGCTGTCATACATCACAGAATTTTACACATTTTCTATAACCTTAGCTTAATTTGTGTAGTGTTTCTTGTAGAGGTGTGATATTTTCCAGCTCCCACTGTTTCAAATCTTTCAGCAGTGTTATCCTATTTGACTATGAGACTGTGCTTCATGTAGTTTCCTCCTTTTTCATACTCTTTGTTAATCTCTGTATTCTTCCTCATTCCATTCTTTACTGCACAAAGAATCTACTGACGCTGTGATGGGCAAGACTGGACATTTGTTACTGTACAGCACAGTGCAAGCAGAGATGATCAGCTGTATTTTTTGAAGGGTCACATTGTCAAATTACCATTGTGTCTCTGGGGTGCATTGTTACATGGTAAATTACAAAAGTTTGATGCTACATAATGCAAAAATGTAGATATGGTCGTTGTAGCTGAATTTCTGTCTATATTATATCCTTAATGAAAACAAACAAGTAGGCATAAGAGAGCACCATTTTGTTTGTGTTTGTGTGTGTGTGTCTGCATGCATGTATGTGTCTGGACACACAAACTTAAAGGAAACTAAAACTGAAATGAAGTATAATAATAAATCTTTAAAAATAAATTCAACTTTTGTTAAGGTACTTTTTTCTTGTAAAAAATGGGACAAGTAATTGGCAGTGGCGTGAAATCTGTAAATAGCTTTCATTTTAATAGCATAACTAATGGACTGTTTGAGCTATGCATACGGAATTTGTATTGAGATAAATCATATACATCTAAAATTTAGTATGACATACTCTTTATAATAAGGCAGTGATGACGAATATGAGAATGTTATGAAACCTTAAGGTTATGTCTTGCAAAGTGATTGTAGAAAAAATCTTTACTTTAGTAATAAGTTCTTTCCAAAATAGGAGGAGGAAGAGGAGGAGGGGAGATGGTGATGACAGTGATGGTGGTGATGATCATGACGGTGCTGAACTTTAATAGATGCAATTTCAAACAGAAAAGTTCTGACTGAATTAGGATTTGATAATATGACCGTCTGGTTGGCAAGAACAGAATCTAAAGATCCGTTCACAGGACCTGAAGCAGCTTGATGCATCTCAGTTGGAGTTTCCAAGAAAGTGGTCAGGGACTGGACGAACAGAAGTCACAAAAAAATTGGGAATTTGTAACTAGACCCAGACAGGTAGAGGGACTTTTACTAGGGCCCTCTGCCAGAAGAATGAAAGATCTGCTGAAACAAATTAAGATGGGTGGTAGGACTTTTTACAGGACACTGTCACCTAAAAGGACATTTTTTCAAACTGGATTTAAACTTATAAGTAAAAAAACAAATAATAAAATATATGAATGTGACTTGTGCCAGCACTGCAAGTGCCAAGTACGTACGCT